GTAGGGTCTGGCTGAAGGTAGTGCCGGACCCGGACCGCATTGGCTGACCAGGCAACCATTCGAGCTTCGGGCCTCGTTTCGTACTGGATGTCCGCTGGCTAAGCCGGGCGGCGATGACATGAAATTCGTTTGCCCGTGACTGACGCTGCAACAAAAATCTCCAGCCTTGCTCTACTCGTTTCACGTGACTGCGCACTCGCATTTTTGGGAAACCTTAAAAAGCGACATTGATATGCCCTATTTCGCTCGATGTCGTTTCCGCTGCTAAAATGGCCGTGCGAGTTGAAACGTATGATGTACGCAGACGGCTCCGGCCGCAGACGACGACCGAACACTTCAACTTCAAATGTCTGACCAGCGGTGAAAGCCGATGGACGCCGGCCGGCTATCGGTAGTCTAACCTCGAACCTCTGACCTCACCAAATCGTGTTTGTTGCGCGAATAATTTGCATTTTTTCTTTTCATCTTGTGAACATGTTGAACCGGTATCATCAATCGCAAAAACATTCTTAATCTGTCCCAGTTTCAGAACCGGCGGATTCTGCATATAAAAGTTCATATGTGATTTGCGAAGAGCTGGTCACATTGGGCAGTTGGCTATCGTAATCATTCCGTCGTCTGACTACGTCAGGAACTCGCAGCAACAGCAACTGCGTTGACCGTGACAAACCGAACCGACTGACCGACCGACCGACCGCAGGATGATGCTGAAAGTGACAGAACCGCAGGATGACAAGAACCACCTGGTAAACGTCGCCGCCGCCGCCGCCGCTGCCGCGGCGTCCATCGCAGACAACGAGAGGAAGCTGAAGGAGGTCAACCAGTTTCGGCTGGTCGCGTTTCTGTCGATCGCCTTCAGCACCGTCACCCTGGTGCTATGCATTGTCAGTGTCCCATGGATCTATAGCCACATCCAAGTGGTTCAGTCTGAGCTGGACGTTGAGATGCTTTACTGCAAGGTAACACACCTCTGTCTGCTTGTTTCGTGTCGACTCTCATCGGTGCTTCGTTCCTCTTCGTAGTTTCGTTCGCACGACCTCTGGAATGAAGTCGGTCAGCTGATCAACGCCAAGGGAGAAGAGGTCAGTTCCCGACGGCGGACACGCGACGTCAAGGGTGTGTGGTACTACGGACGGTACGAGAAACCGGCCATGGCGCAACACGCAAATCCTCAACAGTCGATCATAGGCGGAGGCATGCCCTTTGTTGGCGGATGCGGAGGCGCAGTGCCTTGTGGACCTGTCGAAACGGTGCATAAGTTTGTCCGGCCAGACGGTGGATCACAGACATGTGAGCATACAGTCAAAAACTTTAAATACATGTACGGTAGTGTGAAGAAGCAAATACATTCTTCACAATTTGCTAGCCATCCGGTAACACGTTTTCCCCTCTACTAGCAGGAGACGCTAACGGAATTCTGTACTTGCTAATTGGCATCCATTAGTTCTTTTTCGCAGCCATTTGTTGGCGATGGAG